AAAAAAAAAGAGTCTCTTAGGGCTCTGTTTTTATCTTAGTTTTCCTTCCCTTCCTCCGTGTTCACCTGTTGTGTTTCTTAACTCCACGTATGAGTGAAATCACATATTTGTCTTTCTCTGGCTGACTTATTTCGCTCAGCATAATACCCTGTAGTTCTATCCACGTTGCTGCAAATGGCAAGATTTCATTCTTTTACATCACTGAGTAGTATTCCATATATATCATCTTCTTTATCCCCTCATCAGTCAAAGGACGTTCGGGCTCTTTCCACTGTAGCAGGATTCTCGCACAGAGAGTCATGACACGGAGGCTTTTCTTTCCAGGAAGCAGCTGTATGCATGCCGACACGGCTCAGTTGAGTTCATACCCATAGAACTGAGCCCCAAACACCACGTGGCATAGTTTTTTATACATTTTCTACTTCTTTGTCTCCCATATATAGTAACACACAAACATGCAGTCTGATTAAGTGGTCTCATGTTACAAGGTCATGAGGAACGCCATGTACACGTATAGCCAGGTTGCTTTGGGGTTTTGTTTTGTTTTTTTTCCATTCCTCAGGGAGGGGACCCTACCACACCATAATTTGGCTATTGTTGTTAGCCCTGCTATAAACATCGGGGTGCATATGCTCCTTTGAATCAGCATTTTGTATGCTTTAGATAAATTCCTAGTAGTGCCATTGCTGGGTGGTAGGGTAGTTCTATTTTTAACTTTTTGAGGAACCTCCATACTGTTCTCCATAGTGGCAGCACCAGTTTGCATTCCCATGAACAGTACAAAAGGGTTCTGTTTTCTCCACATCCTTGCCAACATCCGTTGTGGCGTGAGTTGTTAATTTTAGCCATTCTGACAGGTGCGAGATGGTATCTCATTATGGCTTTGATTTGTATTTCCCTTATGATGAGTGATGTTGAGCATCTTTTCAGGTGTCTGTTAGCCATCTGGATGTCTTCTTTGGAAAAATGTCTATTCATAATAAAACTCTCTTTTTTAAAAATATTTGAACCAGGAAATCCTGAAATAACTTTTCAGTTTCTCCATGGTGCTGATGGTAACAGACCTGTAAGGAATGATAAGCCACCGTGACGTACAAGTCAGAGTCAAAGGAAGCAGGGAAGATAAAAATGATGGGAAACCCATTTGAGAAAGGGACAGAAAGAAGCAGATAGTTGGAGCACAGGGAGGAAAACATCCCAATAATAACAGTGTTCTGGAGGAAAGATGCTTAGGCTCCAGTTTTTAAGGTCCCGAGAATTCCCTTTAGCTCAGTAATCTAGGATTTCCTTCCATCTTCAGGGTCCACTGCACCCAGGTTAGAGCACAGGTCAAAAAGGGTGGAAGCAATAGAAGGAACTAGGGCAATTCATGCTCAGGCTACTGCCAAGCAATAGATTTGATATGCACTGATTGCCACATCTTATTGAAGATGTTATTAGAAACTTGGTGTCCCTGGTACTTTGTGTCTGAAACACGGGGACCAAGTTCTTGCTTTATGAATCCACAGAATTCCCGGGATCAAAATTGACAGACCACCCCAAAATGTTCTGCAGAAGTTCTATAGCTAATGAGAACCACAGAGCTCACAAACAAGTCTTCTTTAACCCTGACTCCAATCAGCCTCCCAGTGAGTCTTGGAATCCCTGATGGCATAGCCTCCATTCCTATCCCCAAGAGGCATCATCCCTGAGAGTAGAGCCCAGAGCAATCAGTGGCTGACAAAAGAATTCATCCCTCTGACAGGAAGTGAAGAATCAGCTTGATTTCTGTAGAAAACTGGTTCTATCAAACACAAGAAACTCCATAACTCTGGACTACAGAGGCTACAAATTAAAGTAGACAGTTAAGAAGGGCCAGTGTAGGGCACTAAAACGAGAAGTCCCCTGGAGTTACGACACCATGGTTTAAATCCTGGCTTTTCCACTTGCAATTTGTTCTTTGACAAGCCACTTTAACTTTCTGAGCCTTGGCTAACACATTTCAAGAGTGAAACCCATAATGGTTATTCTGGGATTATTGAGAGGACTCACTAAGTTAATATGGAAAGGAAATGTTCCACACAGAACAAGGGCTCCATAAGTCTAATGGTCTCCACAGAATCACTTTCTTTCTCGGACCCTTGAAAAAGAAACCCAAGACAGATGATGACCTGGTTCACAGGAGTGCAGAGGTAGATTATGAAAGCACTCACAAGGAATTAAGTGGAAATATTTGACTTGGAGATGAGATCAGATGAAAGTGATCATTAACACTGTCTGTCTTGGGAGAAAGGGAATTCACTCCACATAATATCAATGTGTAGAATATATCAACATGTAGAAGATATAGAAAAAACCATATGGCTTTCCCAACAGGGAGACTTTTCCAAAGATAGGGTGCCCCCAGAAGTCCCCACCACAGAAAGGGTTAGCATAAGGCTCTGCATCTGACAACTCAGGAGGGCACAACCTGAGAGGCCATCTGAGGCCCGGTGTATACCAGGGATACATGACAATTTGTTGGGAATGTTCTAGAATGAGAGACTCTACAATGGTCCCTCCCAGTCTTGATAGTCTAAGGTTCTCTGGTCTTAAAGATAACAAGCAAGAAATACTGACCCAAGGTTCGATTTCAGGAGGGGTGCAGAGATAGGTAAAAGTCTTTCGTAGTAACTAGGTAACTGGTTACCTGGTAACTGCTAGATGTGGATTCTTAAGGTGGTAAACATTTTCTTCTCTCTCTGAGCAGAGAATATCTGGGATATTCACCTAACATCTGACGCTGAAGAAAGCAAAGTCCTTCAGTTCTGGAATCTCTGATTCCATTCTCCTCTTCAGGCCACCTACTTACATCGAGGCTATGGCCCCCTAAAATCTCACTGCTGTGACAGAGTTCATTCTTGTGGCCTTCACAGATCACCCTGAACTGGCGGTGCCCCTCTTCCTGATGTTTCTCATTTTCTATATCGTCACCCTTCTGGGGAATGTGGGGATGATCATTCTGACCCAAGAGGGTGTCCAACTCCACACGCCCATGTGCTTCTTCTTGAGCCACCTCGCCCTACTGGATGCCTGCGACGCCTCGGTCATCACCCCTCAGATCCTGGCCACACTGGCCACAGGCAAGACGGTCATCTCCTATGACCAATGTGCTACCCACTTCTTTTTCTTCACCCTCTGTGCAGGCACAGGGTGTTTGATGGCCTATGGCCACTTTGTTGCCATTAGCAACCCATTGTGCTATAACCTCGTTATGACTCCAGGCACCTGCTGGGGATTGTTGGCTGCAGCCTATGTCTGTGGGGTCTCAGGGGCCATCCTGCGTACCACATGCACCCTCACCTTCTCTTTCTGTGACCGTCTCTGTCTGTGACAGACTTCTTCTTCTGTGACCTCCCACCCCTGCTGAAGCTTGCCTGCCAAGCATGACACAAAGTGCCACTGTCATCCTCTTTTTTGCCAAGCTCATGCTCCTGGCCAATGTCCTGATCATCCAGGTCTCCTATAGGCTCATAATCAGAGCCATTTCAAGGGTGAAATCTGTTGGTGGACGAGCCAAGACCTTCTCCACCTGCACATCCCACCTCACCACTGTTGTCCTCTTCTTCAGGACACTTGCCTTCGTGTACCAGAGAAATCACTCAGACTCATCCCCAGAGGAGGACAAGATCGTGTCTGTCTTTTACACCGTGGTCATCCTCATGCCAAACCCTTTGATCTACAGTCTGAGGAACAAAGATGTAAAAGCTGCACATTCAGAAAACTCATTGGTAAAATCCAGTTCCCAAAGAATGCAGCCTCAGGTGAGAATCGTTCATCCTGACCCATTTTCTCCCCAGATCTTCATGCTCTGATAAGTATCAACACCATGCAGTGCCTGCCCTCAAGAATGGCAGCTTTCAGTAGCACTCAGGAAGTAGGCAAGAACTACCACCTTTTTTTTTTTTTTTAATTTAATTTGGGGAAAACCACAAGGTTGGTGAAATTTACTTAGATGACTCTCTCTACCTCTCTTTTTTTGCCTTCTCCGTCTTTAGCCCACTCTCAAACTATCAGGGTTCTAGGGATACTCTCTGATACCACCGAGCAAAAAGCTGACACAGTCATAAGTGAACTGACGACCACATCCAAGCTGCCATCTTCAACTCAAGCACACTGAAGTTCCCCAGTTGCCCCCTCTTTATCCCGCCATCTCTGTGCTCCCTGATACTGACGTTTACTCTCTGTGGAGGATTATAGCTGGGAATCATACTAACAGGAGGAGAGCCAGGAATTTTGCTCTTCTTTTATGGTATGGATAACCGACCAACTCATTATGAGGAAATTAATGAAAAGTACCGTGAACCCAGTGGAATTTCCCATTGGTACAGATTACAAGAGTAAAAGGAAGGGTGCTCCCTTTGACTACTGCCCCACTTATGTCTTCCCGAATGGTGCCCAGTATCTCCAGGACTCTACTCTCTGCCTTTCAAGTGGCAAATGTCTACATTCTGGATCTCCAACTCTTTTGTTTCTCCTCCTCCTAAACACAGCACCTGACTCATGACAGTCTCTGCTTTCAAAAAACTCACTCCCAGAGGCTGCAAAGTTAGCAACCGTAGACCTACAGCAAACGGTCTTAAATGGAATTACCTTGTCAGGTAATGTCTTACCCTCTTGGAACATCAGTTTCCTCTAATCAAAAAAAAAAAAAAAAAAAAGATTAATACTTTCTGTTTGAAAGAATTATTGAAAGAATGTTTAAAGAAGAGGATGAAAATCAATGTGGAGGTTTGGTTTAGTCAGAAGAGGCTGAGTTTGCTGTGGCAACAATCAAATCTGAAACTGGTCATAATACTTTTCCCATGCAAATTGGGGCATTCTGCTGTACATAGTCACTCAGAGATTCTGGCTTAAAGAGGCCCCTCCATTTTATAGCTATACTGTCAAAAATGCAAACTATGCAGGGGATAAAAGGCTACTGCAGAATCATAATGGACCTTTTCTCCCACAGCCCACTGGTTAGAAGGAGTCACACAGTCCCGCCTCGCTAGAAGGGAGCCGTTAAAGGTAAAAGTACAAATGGAATATATGCGAAGCAATATTGACTCTGCCTCCCCTGTGGCTGCGATTATCAGCATTCCACAAAATCATAAGTAATCAGATTATTTCTTGATTGTTCAGATCATTTACTACAAACCACCTCTCCCATATTTAGGGAAACAAGTCCACTCTTTCACTTGCCACCTGGCCAAGTGCCATTAGGATCCCCATGGGCTTTTCACCCACGCTCAATTCATCAGAGTGCTTTGGGAATATTATTGGTGAAATGAGAAGGAGTCTAAAATACTCCTTTTATATATAAAAATATAAAATATTAACACTACTAACTGAAGCCAATATATATATATATATATTACATATACATATAATATATATTATAATATGTATATTATATATAATATTATACTATATATAATATACATATTATAATATATATATAACAAAAAGATACGTAACTTGTGTTTTGTAGAAGGCCATGACTCCAGCCACATGAACTAGAGGGGTAGAGGACAGAGAAAGAGGAAAGATGAGAGAGGGAAAGAGAGCCCTAATCCCACTTGACCCGTACATTTTTCAAGCACAACATACCCCAAATAGGAGTCTTGATCCCCCACCCCCAACACTTACTCCTCCCAAATCTTCTCTGGTACCACCTGGAGAAACCAGTTGTCCAGACAAAATAATTATAATCATCATCCTCATTTTTTTATTCCTCTCATTCTCTCACATCCAACCCACCAGCAAACTCTAACAGTTCTAACCCAAAAAGAACCCCCATCTGGTTTAGGCGGGCCTCAGAGACCAGTGTGCCAGAGTAAGTATCCAACATCCTGTGTCGGTGCTGTGGTTGGGGCAACACCTTTGTGGTCTTACAGTGCATAGGCATCTCTTCTTGGTTTGAAATGACTTTACTTCTCCAGCCTTCCTGCTAATTCTCTGAGCTACCCATTATCATTTAAATAAATTCCTTTTCTAATTAAATCAGTCTATGTCTGTTGCTTACCACTAAGAAATCTTATTGATACAGAAATCAGCAGCAAGATTGTTATAGGCAAGAAACCATTGGAAAAATTGGAGGAATCAAGTCATATTCCTAGCTACATTGAGTCTATGGCCAAAAAACTATACCATAGATAGATATAGATATAGATAGATATAGATACAGATATATGTGTGTATATGTATATATATATGGAATTGGGTCAGGTAATTATGGAGGCTGAAAAGTCTCACCATCTGCAGTCAGCAAGCTGGAGACCCAGGAAAGCTGATGGTATAAATTCCAGTCTGAGTCCAAGTTCAAAGACAGGAAGAAACCTATGCCTCAACTCAATGATGGTCAGGCAGGGAAAGGGAATTCTTCCTTGCTGAGCCTTTTGTTCTATTCAGGTCTTCAACAAATTGGATGAGACCTACCCATATTGAGGAGGAAAATCTGCTTTATTCATCTGCCAATTCAAATGTTATCTCATCCAAAAACACTCTCACAAACACACCCAGAATAGCATTTAACTAAATCATCTGGGTACCCCATGGCCCAGTCAAGACGACACATAAAACTAATCATCACAGAATTGGCTATCTTGCCTGAGTCAGACTGAAACAGAGAGAATCTATCCAGTATTACGATATAGGGTGCAGACTAATACTCCCTTCTCCCATAGCTCAGAACAGTGAAACAATAGCAGATTTTGATCCTGTAATGTAATGTCTAGTAAAGGCAAAGCTTTGAGAACTATGAGGTCTCTGTCACATAATGTGTGATAGGTAAGGCATGAGTAATTAAAGACTCTGTGGTGGGTGGTTGCTTCTAAAGGCACTGGATAGTTTAAGGAAATTGAATGGTATGACATTTCCTAAAGTCTTGATCAAAACACAGAATAAAAATTAGGGACTATAAATTATTATTCTTTTAAAAATATTTTACACTTTCAGCATTAGGGCTGCTAATGGGAAAAGTAGCCTAATATTTAAACTGTGGGAGGCCAAATTATTCTGCCAGTTAAATTACTGCCCCTTGTCCAGAACCGAGCTTCGTAAGCCACCTAGGCTTAAAGCTGTGGCACTTATTGAAAAAGAATGAGAAAGAGAGATACTGGAAAAACCTAGCAGCCCACTGGAATGGCAGTGCAAGGGAAACTCTGGGTGACTCTGAGTCCCTCCAGCCTCACCCCCACTGAGCCTCCCTTGCTGGCTCAGGCATCATCTCCTTCTCTGTTTAAGGGAGCTTCCTGCCTTGCATGAAGACCTAGTCACAGCCTTACTGCTACCTGCTACCCTGCAAGGCAAAGCTGATTCTCTTCCTGCCCCAGTGCTACCAACCCTCATTCTCTCCAGATCTATTAGCAGAGTTTTCTTAAGGTTAGATACAAATATGCCAAGATAGGTCAACTGCAAGTTGAAACCAAGAGAATTCTTACACATGAAATCATTTAAAAGGCTCTATAAAGTTATAACAGCAAATACGTTAAGTTTCTAAATGAAAGATTCAAGAACTTAGCTGTAAATTGAGCTAAATTCATTGGTAAGGGCCCTCATAGAAAGACCTTTTTGGAACCAGCAGAAAAGAGCAGCACATCATTATGGTTCTTTTTGTCATTTGCCTTACAGAATATCTACAACAGGCCATCTGCAAAGCCCAACACACAATAAGAAAAGGTAGTAGATATGAAAGAGGCAGTGACTGTGGCTCGAAGCTGAAAGAAAAATTCACACAGATGCATAATGATCCAGATGTTGGAATTAAAGGCCTTTATAATAACTGCCGTAAATATGTTAAAGAATTTAGAAGAAACAGATTTAAGCATGAACATATGGGGAATTAAGGCAGAGGAACAAAAAAAAAATCTAACAGAATACAAGTTCTAGAACTAAATAACACAGTATCCGAAATGGAGCAGATTGGATACAGCAAAATAAAGAATCAATAAACAGCAATACAAGTCAACAGAAATGGTCCAAACTGAAGCAGAGAGAGGAAAGAATGTTTAAAACACAAAAGACGAATGAGACATCTTGGAAAATAGCAAATGGTCCAGCATACATGTAATTGGAGTAACACAAAAAGGCACAGAGAAAAGTGACAAGAGAAATGTTTGAATGGATGACATCTTTCAAAGGCTAAAAAAATACAATAAAATAAATAATAACCCAGAATTCTATACCTAGTGAAAATAGCATTCAACAGCAAACAACTATTCAATGAAATAGACATTTTCAGATAAATTAATAAAGCTGATAAGAAGCATTAGCAGCAGGCCCGAGCTGCATACACATGATGTAAAATATAAATATGAACATAAAGAAATAACAAATCGGAATATTAAGATAAAAATGTGAAACAAATAGTGCCAAATGAATGGCTGAGTTCATAGGAAGGAAAAAAGAACACCATAAAGGGTGAATATATGTGAACATAAAGGACCACTTTTTCAAAAATTTCAAGAAGCTATTGACTGCTTAAAATAACAATGTATGTTACAGTTCATAACACAGAGGAAAACAAAATAGATGACAGCAATAACACAAAGATCAAAGGAAGGGAATAAACGGAATTACACTATTATAAGCTTTTTACATTGAAAGCGAAACAGTATAAAATTAACTTAAACTAGATTATACTAAATTAAGGGGCACCTACAGGCTCAGTCGGCTATGCATCCGACTCTTGGTTTTGGCTCAGGTCATGATCTCACGGCTTGTGAATTCAAGTCCCACATCAGGCTCTGGCCTGCCAGCATGGAGCCTGCTGAAGATTCCTTCTCTCTTTCCCTCTCTCTGCCTCTCCCCTGCTCATGTGAGCACATGTGCTCTCTCAAAATAAATAAACTTTGCAAAACAGGAGAGAGAGCCCCAGAAATGGAAGGAAGGAAGGAAGGAAGGAAGGAAGGAAGGAAGGAAGGAAGGAAGGAAGGAAGGAAGGAAGAAGGAAGGAGGAAGAAGGAAGAAGGAAGGAAGGAAGGAAGGAAGGAAGGAAGGAAGGAAGGAAGGAATGAAGGAAGGAAGGAAGGAAGGAAGGAAGGAAGGAAGGAAGGAAGGAAGGAAGGAAAAGCACTTTCACAACTTCAAATTTCTCCCAGGGGAGCCTTTATTGCATCTGCTGTCCTGGCATCCTAGTCAATGTAGCATTTGTCTCAGAATTTGCACATTTTTAGGTAATAGTTCAGTATACTCCCATCCTATACTTCTTGCGTCTGCCATGCTAGGACCTAGTAGTGTGTGGAACACGCATACAGTGAACGGAGTTGTCGCCTTGACGCGTGTTTAAATCTGAAAGCAAAATCATCCATTTCTCATCTGTCTTTCCCTGATTCTCTCTAGACTGAAATCTCTTGTCCACCGACATTACACAAGGTGCCCAGTGCTTTAGAAAAAAAAAAAAAAATCACTCAGGCACAAGGATCTAGGTTGGGTCATTTCTCTGGTTTAGGGTGGTGGTGAGGGAGACCTTGAACTCTGCACCCCCCTGGCACCCACTGGTGTGCCAGCCAGCTGTACGTGGCCCACGACAGAGCGCGTGAAGCCAACAGGTTTTCCATGGGTAGGCACTTAAGCATAAATGCACAGCGTGCAGAAAACGGGGACTAAGAGACCATGCAGTGGAGCATATACAAATCTGAAAGCTTTCATTTCTGTGGTTTGGTCCATGTTTGCAGGGTAGAAGGCCACAGCAATGTATTTTATTGTTTGGTATCACTTTTATATTTTGCAATAAGCACTTGCCATAGCAATAAAGGAAAAAAAAAAAAACAAAAACAGAAGCATGTGTTGCTCAAGAAGGTTGATGATGAGCGTGTATTTTGCACGAGATGTTTGTCAGCCTTTATCCCCCGCTGTGGGAGTCATGGTGATGCCTCCAAGGACTTGAAAAGTAGAAGACACAAATCTGCTGAAGACACATCAACACGTGTTTTCAGAGACTGTGCCAGACAGAAATGACTGAAAATCATGGGTGTGTTTACACTGCACTCTCGGAAGCAAGACTTTCTGTTCCCATCAAAGGTCACTTCGCTCATTTATCTCATTCCCATTTTTTGTGTGCGTGCACACACGTACACGCAAAAAAACAAAGCAACACTTGGTAATGTATTGGCGTCAAAAGAAAAGAACAATTTTACCCACAGTAAAATGATGACAGTTTCATATCGGTGGCATTAAATGCGTCAGACGGGAGATCATCTGTTATTTCTAATAAATTTTCCCATCCAACCTATCAGAATAAAGCTGTTGAAAGTTCATTCCGTCAGAGATGAAATATCTAACATTGTTGTGAACACTGTTGTAAATTCAGCAGAAAATACCAAACTGGCAGAAACAGTTCTGTTTGGGGATATAATGAAAATACAAATTTTAGTGTAGCACAGCATCACAATAAAAGCAATACTCTTACTGAATTATGGAACTTCTGGAACAAGAAATATATTTGGAATCAGTCATAATACATATAATCTATTACACATCCAAACAAGTTACAATGGTTTTTCCATCAAATAGAAGCTGTATTTTTCGGGCGCCTGGGTGGCTTGGTCAAGTAAGAGTCTGACTCTTGATCTCAGCTCAGGTCTTGGTCTCAGGGTCATGAGTTCAGGCCCCTAGTTCGGCCCCATGTAAAGCAACAGAGATGTTCTCTTGCTGACCTTGATGAAGGAAGCTGGCATGTTTTGAGAGGCAAGGCCACACAGTGGAGACCTGAGAGTTGGCTCAAGACCAGCCCTGGCCAATAGCTAACAAGGAAAAATGGGCCCGCGGCCAAAACTTGCACACAATGAATCCCACCCACAACCAGATGGGGTTAGGGCTTTGCCCCTCAAGATGCCATCCTCATGAAATGGATGCCCCACCCAGTGCCTTGATTCCAGTCACGGGAGACGCCCCCGCCCAGAGGAGGCAGAAAACACACTGTCTGCCTCCTGCCTCTTGGAAATTATGAGATGCTAAATGTGTGTCATTTTAAGATGCTAGTTTTGCGTAATTTGTTACTCACCAATAGGAAACTCACAAATGGCACTCATTTCTTATATTTCTCATAAAGGAAAAGCTAGTGTGGGGCTCCTGGGTGGCTCAGTTGGTTAAGCATCTGACTTCAGCTCAGGTCAAGATCTCACGGTTCATGAGTTCAAGCCCCACATTAGGGGCTTTGGTGTCATCGCAGAGCCTGCTTCAGATCCTCTGTCCCCTCCCCCCACACTGCCCGTCCCTGTTCGTGTGCTCTCTCTTTCTCTAAAAATTAAAAACGTTTTTTTAAAAATAAAATAAAGTAGGGGCGACTGGGTGGCTCAGTCGGTTAAGCATCGACCTCAGCTCAGGTCATGATCCCATGGCTTGTGAGTTCGAGCCCCTTGTTGGTCTCTGTGTTGACAGCTCAGAGCCTGGAGCCTGCTTCAGATTCTGTGTCCCTTCTCTCGCTCTGGCCCTCCCCCACTCACGCGCGTGCACGTGTGCTCGCTCTCTCTCTCTCTCTAGAATAAATAAAGATTAAAAAAATTTTTTGATAAAATAAAATAAAGTAAAAGCTAGCTTGAAAGCAGCATCCAACAAACTTTTCCTTAAAGACCAGATGGTAAATATTCTAGATATCGTGGGCTGACCGGTCTCTGTGGCAGCTGCTCAAAAGCTGCGTCCTAGTGAGGAAGCAGCCCTAGGCAATACTGACACGAAAGATGGCAGGTGTGTTTCAATAAAACTTTAAGAAGCAGGGGGCCTGCCTGGTTTATATTCTTGGACCCTGATCTCAAGCCCAGAAGGCTTCCTACTCCCTGGCGCCCCCTTCAGGCCAACCGGCTCGCCCCAGCCGGACCCCCACCAGCACCCCTGGGACCTGCCAGTGACACGTCGCCCACGCTGCCGTCGCTCTTTCCCATCCTGGCAGAGCCGTGCCTTCCTTCTCAAAGCATTGACAATTTCCAGGCCTCTTTCAGATGCCTAAAGATCACACTTGAGCTTCTCAGCGGCCGAGTGAGCCAGGAAGGCTCCCACCTTAAGGGGAGGAAAGCGAGGCCCGCGGACATCGAATGCCTGCCAGCCGGGCTCGCGGAGCCAGTTGTCGGTTTATGAATGGTTCCTGTCATTCGGTGTTGCTAGTCCCCGGTGCAGAGGGCATGGTCCCAAAGCCCCCCTTTGAGCCTGAGGCTGGACTCCCCCGGCCTCTCCTCAGCCCCAGTGCCTCCCAGGCCGAGCGTTGTGACTGTCCCCATGCTCGCCCCATGATGCCCACTTGGAAAGTAGACTCAGACCTGTAAGGAGCCTCAGAGACAATTCTTCCCGAGGCCTCAAACTGTGGTCCTTGCAGGTGGCTTCCGGGCGCCAAGAAAGCAGGGGGAGGTGCAGGGGCCCAGAGGGCAAAACTGGAGGCCACTGACCCTGCAGCCCAGAGGGCATCTCCACCCGTCCCCGCCACCGCCCCCCCCCCCGACGTCATGCACTGAGCTTCTTCCTGGTGTGTTACAGACTTTGCTGTTGAAACAGCCTGAGGACCACCTGCTGATGCCAATGTTTCCCTGTCACAGAAGAGAAAACTGAGGTCCCAGAGACAGGAAGTGAATTGCCCGAGAGCTCTCAGAGCGTTGACAGCACAGCTGGGGTAGTATTCGGGCCACAAACACATGGAAGCTGAACCCTAAGGCCGGCCCTCCCTGGCTGTGTCCCTCTGTGAGCATGATGTCGACTATACCCAGCCCAGAGACCCTCAGGCCTGTGGCCGCGGATGACAGGCTGCTTCAACGGTGTGTTTTGCAGCCTGGGTCCCTGGAGGCCTCGGCCTCCCCTGCGCATCACAGCGGTGATTCTGGCTTGAAGATTACGGGGTGTGAGCAGGCCCAGGGGCCCCGGGTCAGGGAGGTCGACGACTTCATGAAACAAGCCCCCTTATGGGGCGCCTGGGTGGCTCAGTCGGTTGAGCGCCGACTTCGGCTCAGGTCACGATCTCGCGGTCCATGAGTTCGAGCCCCGCATCGGGCCCCTGTGCTGACAGCTCAGAGCCCGGAGCCTGTTTCAGATTCTGTGTCTCCCTCTCTCTGACCCTCCCCCGTTCATGCTCTGTCTCTCTCTGTCTCAAAAATAAATAAATGTTAAAAAAAAAAAAATTAAAAAAAAAAAAAAAGAAAAGAAACAAGCCCCCTTAAAAGGGTCCCCAGAAGGGAGGAGGTGCAGGTGGGCAGGGCACGCTGCCTGCTCCCGGGCGGCGGGGCTGTCTCTGCCGGACCTCAGCCAGCAAGTAAAGAGGGTTAGTAGCTGTGAGGACAAGTGAGGCAAGGGGTCACAGAACGCTGCCCAACTCTGGAAGAACAGGCATGTAGGACAAAGGCCAGGAGCTCAGCCACACTCACTCACCGTCTTTCCAGGGTCCCCTGAAGACTCAGCTGACGTGCCTAGAGCCTCCCTGAGGAGGCCAGGCCCAGGGGGTCTGACACCAGGGGCCCCCCAGCCACACGCCCACAGGAAAGGACAGCCAACATGGCCTGTGCAGTCATCCTGGTGGCCCTGCTCTTGGCAGGGCCCGGGGGCCACACTGTCCAGGCCCCTGGCTACCTGCCAATGTCCAGGGACCTCGGACATCTTCTCCACCAAAGGAGACGTGCTCATCAGGGCCGTGACGCCCTTACACGCAGTGCTGGATCAGCCACGAGTAAGGTTCCAGAAGCCTCCGGAGCAGCCACTGTGCCAACGGTGGGTCCAGGCCTTATCCCTAGACAGGATGGCCACCTGGGGAGGGAGAGAGGGGGAAAGGGGTGCCTTCTGATCGCTGGAGGCAGCTGGGGAGCCCTAGATCTGCCATCCACCCTCCCAGGCCCCTGGCAGGGACAGCCCTTGGCTCTAAGCACCTGGGTGTCAGACTGGGTTCTACTCCCAGCCCTCCCTGAGTCACCGAACCACCCAAGGCAAGTCTCCTTCTCTCTCTGCACCACGCTAGTATTCCTTGAGTCTGAGGGAGAGAAGAGCTCCACAGCAGGCGGCCTGGGAATGGCTTCAGAGTCACGGCACCAGAGCCCTGGGAAGAGGCACGGAGGGGCCGTTCGTGGGGCCAGAGGGAAGGCAGCCCCAGGCCCATGCCTGTCCGCGGGGGGCTCCGCCAGCCTGGCTTCCACAGACGTCTGAACTGTTCCCAAGGCCACCCTGGTTTCTTGCCACATTTCAACCTGCAATCTGCGGGGTCGCCCCAGAAAGATGCCCAGGAAGTATGCAGCCAGAACAATGTCACCCCACCCCACGTCTGTCTGTCTTCTCCCTGCCTAGGTCTCCGTCAGAGGCGGGGTAGCTGTTCACGCGCTCACTCGGGGCTCTCTGCTGTGTCTGGGGCCGTTTGTCTCTGCAGGTGTTTGTCCATCTGTGTGCCCGTGTACACGGCCGCCAGCCCCTGCACGTCTGTCTCCCTGTCTTTCCCGCACCTGAGTGCCTGTCTGCATTTCTGCCTGTCTGTCTACTTAGGTATGTCTGTGTTGCCTAAGTTCCCCAATCCCCCCAAGGCTGCCTCCTTCCAGCAAGTGTGGAAATTCAATCCCACTTCCCATCTTGCCCTCGCTCCTTCCGAACAGACAGTGTCCGTGGCTGTTTTTTTTTTTTTTTAATTTTTTTTTTCAACGTTTATTTATTTTTTTTGGGACAGAGAGAGACGGAGCATGAAGGGGGGAGGGGCAGAGAGAGAGGGAGACACAGACTCGGAAACAGGCTCCAGGCTCTGAGTCATCAGCCCAGAGCCCGACGCGGGGCTCGAACTCACGGACCGCGAGATCGTGACCTGGCTGAAGTCGGACGCTTAACCGACTGCGCCACCCAGGCGCCCCTTCCGTGGCTGTTTTGTGTGGCTCAGCACAACACCCCTGACCAATGGTAACTCCCCCACCCGCCCCGCACTTTACTCTCTCAAAGGTTCAGTATCCACTTTTTCCTGAATGTCCTGGCCCTTCTCTTTGCTGTGTCCGAGGTGAAAGGGGACCCAGCCTTCCTGCCCGACATCACCATGGGACTGCAGATCCATGATTCCCGTATCTCGGGGTCTCTGGCGCTGGGGAGCACCCTGGCCCTGCTTTCCAACCAGCCCCGCCCCACGCCCAACTTGCGCCGTGGCCCCCAGCCGCTGCTCCTGGGGGTGGTAGGCGATGTGACCTGCGCAGAGTCGGAGCCCACGGCTGAGCTGCTGTCCCGCAGAGCCCCTTGATGCGGATGCATCTAGAGAGGAAGCTGGTAGCAAGCTCTGGCTGGGTGCCCCAGAACAAACTGCAACTGGGTAGAGACATCACAGGCTGTGACCCTGGGCCTGGATTCCTCTTCCACAAAATGGAGTTTCTGGTAGTGGACTGGGCGGGTGGGTCCCCGGGGCTTGTCCGCAAACGGGTGCTGCTCCGTCGCGATGCTTTCTCTGGTTCGCAACAACACGACAAAGAAAAGGTACGGTCCCTACGTGTCAGCGTGAGGTTGCCAGCCCTCTTCAATCAGTGGTTGCCTTTTTCGTTTTTTCAGTCTTATGGAGACGTGATTGGCATACGTCAACATGCAAGTTCAACGTGTACAGGATGATCGTTTGACTTACACACACCGCGAAACGATGACAAGAAGTTCAGTTAGCACCCAGCGACTCCTATAAATACGATGAAGAGAGAAAGCAAAGGAAGCAAAAAACACCTTTTTCCTCGTAATTGGAATTCTCAGGATTCAGTGTCTTGACAAGTTTCCCACGTGCCTTAGAGCGGTGTCAGCCACGGTCATCACGCTGTATATGCACCCCCCAGTACTTGCCTGCCTTGGAACTGGAAGCTTCTACCTTTTGACACCTCCCCTGCAATTCCCCCTCCCCTCCAACCTCAAATCTGATCTCTTTTCCGTGAGTTTGTCAGGGTTTGTCTTTGATTCGTTTTCGATTCCACAGAGAAGTGAGATCATACAGCACGTGTCTTTGTGTCTGGCTTATTTCACTTTGTATAATGCCCTCGAGGCCCATCCATGTGGTCTCAATGGCAGGATTTCCTCCTTTTTTATGGCCGAATAATATTCCATTATATATACACACCACAGCTCCTTTAGTCATTCATCCATCGACGGACATCTAGGCTGTTTCCACGTGTTGGCTATTGTAGGTTTTATTTTTTCCAACAAACTTTTGTGATAGAATAAAACTTTGCCAACCTTGGGCCAAACCCCTGTCATTTTTGGTTGGTTAGTTAAATAACCTGGGACACATGTGCTCTAACAGCCCATGATCCGAGGGCTGATGATCACACTCAAGATTTATAGCCCAGGCCAGGATGACCTCATTCCTCCTCCCCGCCCTTCTCAGAAAGCTGGAAAGTTGGACATGTGACTGACCATACTGCAGAATTTCATGATGTTTCTATGAAGCATCTGCCTGGACCTGACTTTTATTTGATCTTTTGTGTGTATCAAATCTGTTAGGCAAGGAAGCAATGTTTATCAAATCGTTTCCCAGTTGCAAAAATCCTTATTTTTCCTCACCAGGCCTGGAAATAAGTTACATGACTATTACTTGTGAGCTTCAAAAGACACCCCAAGAAATATTAAATATCTTCTCTCCTGGATTTCCCTGAGACCTCAAATGCCCCAAATGAAAAATCATCCAGTGAGATGCAGACACTTAACCCTCAGTAGCTGTTCTTCAGTGATGGATGGCTATTGTCAACCATTCACACCCTAGTATAAATGAGTTTGTCACATGCTTTCTTCTGCATGCATCATTGGCTAATGATGACCTAATAATTATATATGACTTAATAATAACTGTATCTATCCTTTCTTGAATAATTCCTTGGTGGAAACTGCTTTTTAGATACTTTACATGTATCAAATATTTAGGAGAATTAAATGAGTCAATACAGGTAAAACACTCAGGAAAATGCCTGACTTATAGTAAGTTATATATCAGTATTTCCTATTATTAGTATTATTATCATTATTTTCATTACCTCATTTAATCCTCACAGCCTTGGAAGGTAGGTATTATTATTTCCATTTTACAGATTATGAAATTGAGACTCAAAGAGGAAATGTCACTTGCCCCAATTCTCACAGCTAGTAAGTAGTGGTTCGGGGTTCAAAGCCAGGCAACCAGACTCCAAGAGTAAAAACAGGTACAGAAGCAAGGAGGAGAGAACCTCACCTAAGCACAAACGCTGCCTATTGTAGGACTGGTCCTTATTTCCAAATTTTTACTGAGCACACTACTCATGGCATACAGCTCTGTGCCATAACTGCACGTACCATGAGGCACATATGAGGCCATGGCTCTGACCTTGGATGCACTCACCCTGTGGACAAGAAGACAAGCATGAGCCCAGAGAGCTGTAACACAAGAGCACCGACTGGCTCTCGAAGGGTCGGCTGTAGGAGGAGTCAGGGCAGAACAATGTAGCCTCAAGGTTCCAGATGGAAACGTTCGGTGAGGGTGACCTTGGCCTCTCAGTCAGCAATCAGGACACTTAGCTGATTGAGGATTGCTTTTTCCAGTTTTTTTATTTATGCGAAAATTCTTACAAAGGCATAAAAATAAATTGCTTTTGTACCAAGGATGTAGGAGGCTATAGAGTTTGTCTAGACGCCAAATGAAAAACACACTACACTCTTCTAAACTGGAGTCACTGAACCTTTTACATTTGCTCTGATGGCCGGTGTGTGTGATGTTATTCTGCCCTCTTATGTGATTTTCTGTTTCCTTGGCTTTGTCATAACTTTCCATAAAAAAGGTTAAAGACATAATACTAGAAGTGACAGAAAATCTTTTTATTTAGTTAGCTAGAAGGCATTTCTATGCTCTCATTCACTTCTGTTATGATAGTTTTCTATTCATTATGCTTTTTTGTCTTGTCCTTTCTTGAAATTTCCTAATTTTTTTGAACTTTTCTTTTTCTTCTAGTGCTTTGGAAGTTGTGTAGCTTCTTTCTATTTTTCTCATGATTATTCAACTTTTTAACTCACTTGAACCTTTATTTCTCAAGCAATGTCAAGAATTATACAGTGCATGAAAACACCTTATTCCTCTGCTTCTCCCACTGGCCTCCTACAATATGTTCTTTAGTCCATTGTTGCCCTTTTTTTTAATATTTACTTATTTTGGGGAGAGCGCAAGCAGGGGAGGGACAGAGAGGGGGGACACAGGATCCTAAATGGGCTCCACACTGACAGGCTGACAGCCGAGAAGCAGAGAGCCCCATGTGGGGCTCCGACTCAGGAACCGCAAGATCATGACCTGAGCCGAAGTCAGACGCTCAACCAATGGAGCCACCCAGGTGGCCCTCCCCTTCCAGTGCTGTCTTTCTTATGGTGAACTGGCTTCCCAGGCCTGAGCATATAGGCTTTGGAGAGACGTGGATGCAGCACGATGAGACATGCTGAGATAATATCTAAAAATAAAAGACAGGGGCTCCTGGGTGGTTCAGTCAGTTAAGCGTTTGACTCTTGGTTCCGGCTCAGGTCATGGTCTCACAGTTTGTGGGTTCAAGCCCTGCATTGGGCTTCTCACTGGCAATGCAGAGCCTGCTTGGGATTCTCTCTCTCCCTCTCTCTCTGCACCCCACCCTCATAATAAATAAACTTAAAATTTTTTAATTTTTTTTTAAATAAAAATAAATAAAAACAAAAGACAGACACAGAAGGATTAATGGGACTTCCTACTACGTATGTGATGAATGAAAACAGTCAAGGGACACCTGGGTAGCTCAGTAAGTTAAGCCTCTGACTCTTGATCTCAACTCAGGTCTTTATCTCTGGGTGGTGAGTTCACCTCCCCCCCACCCCCCGTTATATGTGTAGTCAAATTTCCAGAAGCAGATAATAGAGTAGTGGTTCAGGCCTGGGAAGAGAGAAAACGGCGAGAGAGTAGTCAAAGGACACAAAGTTTCAGTTATACAAGCTAAGTTCTAGAGATGTCCTGTACCACGGAGTGCCTGGAGTTCACAACACTGTACTGTATCCTTAAAAATCAGCCAAGAGGATAAATAGTGCGCTAAGGGCTCTTATCACACAAAACCAGACCAATATAATAAGGAAGAGGGCGGAAGGAACTTTGGACTGGTGAATAGGTTTATGGTATAGGTGGTGCTGATGGTTTCAGACATGTGTACTTAGCTCCAAACTCATCAGGTTGTAAATGGTAATCATGCACAGATTTTGCAAGTTAAATAAATTTTAAAAAAAAAACCCACAACTGTTTGTAATAATCGAAGGCAGAGAGGGGAGCAGTGAGGGCGGGTCCAGGGCGGCAGGTGAGAGCACCTGGGGGCAGGTGGACCCCAAGCAGGGGGTGGTGAGGTGTCCCCATCCGGGTCTGCGGCCCCGCTTCATCCCCCAGATGAGCCGTGGATCTCAGCACCCCCCTCTTCTCCGCCTGGTCGGGGTTCCCATCCTTCCTCTGCACAGCGCCCAGCAGCGCCCACCAGCCCTGGGTCCCCGCCAAGCGCTCGAGTCACTTTAACTGGACCTGAGTGGGCCTGATGGGCAATGACAGTGGCGACTGCGAGCGGCGGGACCTGCGGCTGCGGGAGGAGCCGGGGCACACGGGCGGCTGCGGGGCCTTCTCCCAGGGGATCCGCGGCCAGGACCGCGGCATCCACAGCCCCACCAGCGCGGTCTCCTCCAGCCCCGCTTCGTCTGTGCCTGTTACCACTTCCACTTCAGCCTGCTGGCGGGGGCCCTTTGGGAGAAGAATGTGACGGGGAGGACGTGGGTCTTGTCCATCTCTCTCTCCTCCAACCCATCGGTGCTGCGCCCCCGAGCGCACACCTGGCTGAGCGGCAGCTTGAGCCTGGCCATCCACTCGGGATTCGTGCCTGGCTTTGAGGACTTTCTGCTGGCGCTGCGCCCAGCCGTGCACGCGGGCAACGGCCTGGTGGGGAAGCTCTGGGAGCTGCAGGGATGCAGGTGATACGGGTCAGGGGCTGCCACCGCCGGCGCCAAGGAAGGGGCTCATCAGGCTCCGAATTGCACAGGGTGTGAGAACCTGACAGCTGTCCACCTGTCTGCCTTCAGACCGCATGACCTGATGGCCACTCACCAAGCCTACCCGGCAGCCAGAGCCCTGCTGGCCGCCTGTCAGAACCGACCACCTACTCCCCAGGAGAGGGGCCTTTCCCGGGAGGCGCCTGTGCTGACGCTGGCAGTGGCTGGCCTTGGCAGGTGAGCAGCCCAGACGCCCTAATCCAACCCCTGTCC